GGCTCCTTTATATAATGCCATCATTACGTGGGGACAGAGTATATGACTCATGAAAAACATACTTACCTCAAATGATTTAATCGATTGCAGAGCTGGCAGATTTTTGCATTTCAGAATCAGCATGTTCTGCAAATGCTTGTTCCTAACTCAACGTCTCCATGACCCAGAAGCTGGCATTTTAAAACTATTCCATTTCCCCAGTATTATTTTGTTAAAAACATCTTTTTAAAAAGATAGCCTGGGGATATCATTACGGCAATATTAAGCAGCAGACATTTTATTTATTAGATTTGTGTCCCTTCCTTCCTCCACAAATGGGTCACCGACCAACATGCCCAAGCAATACATCAGCATTCTCAACACCACAGCGTGATCAAGCTTCACCAAAAATATTCATTTTCAATTGACAGATTCACACTGCAATGGACATCTTGAACCCATCACAATGTTTTAGCTCCTTATGTCCATTCTGACAGATAAAGTTGGACACATCTGCCTCAAGCCAATTTAAGGACAATTCTTATTTCAAACTAGTATGTGGCTCCAGAGATCTTCTGAAGAGGCCTGATAAATACAAGCCCTTGGCTTCATGAAATATATTTTCTCTGGCCAGATCTTAATTTGTGTGGACATGTGGGCCATTGTGCTTGAAATTGGCAAGAGACAACAAGTCATCGGAGAAAGGAAGTACACTGCCCAGAGGACTTTTACAATTGCATCAGAGACAAGCAGGCTGGCATAAAACAGATAATGATAAATTTTTAAGGACCACCCACTGGATTTTAGTCACAGGAGACTGTGAGACAATGTGCACAGCTTTTCTGAATATGCATTATTGAAACGACTCTGTCTAGCTTTAAGACAAACATGCTCACCAAAATAATGAAAGAAAATATCTTCCTTCATTTAACTACTTTTTTTTCGCTGCACTGCAAGTGCACACTGCAAGTCATTTTTAATTGAGAATTTAATCTAAATAATGTTTTGGGATTAAAAACACCAATAAACAGAGGAGAATGAAATACAACACAGTATGTTCTTGATTAATCTCTACACCTGAATACTGAGATTTGTGGCAAAAAGTACAGCATCAGGACAAACATCGAGATTATATATTAATGTTGCTAAAGACAATGGGTAACATATATGTATTTCTTATCTATATGAGACCATAACAACATCTCACAAACAGCTATAACATCTTGTAAAACATACCACTATCAAAGACCAGTCCAGAACAGCCAGTTTTATGTGCTCCAAAAACTTTATTTTTACATGTTCTCCATGTTACTGTCGCAACCAGTGGCGTAATAGAGCAGGGTAAGGAGGGGAAAAGCCCCTGGGTTTCCTTATTAGCAAGGACTATGATATCATCACCACATTTCCCAGACATCCTTGTTCTCTCTAAACTTAGCTCCAATCTTTCCAGGCAACAGGAAGATTGTTGTCTGGAAAGATTAGCTGAGGCAGAAACTGATTTTACCAAGAACAATACATTGGTGCAAGACAGATTGTGTTGTAATACAAGTATTTGATGGTGTTTTGGTTTGGATTGATCCCTTAAGAGTAGAGATGGGGTTATTCGTATACGAATATGAATATTCCCCCCACAGGTGGCGATAATAAGACTCCGGCCCCATGGGCCCAGACTGTCCACTCATGATTAAGCCACTGCCGTGAGCTGCACGGAGCTTTCCTATGACTTTGTTGCTCGTGATGGATTAGGCACTTTGCGAACTGGCAGAGAGGCTCATCATCCCACCTCTGCCCGTGATGGATTAGGCACTGCGACCTGGCAGAGAGGCTCAACATCCCACCTTCTGCCAGGACTGGCTAATCGGAGCATATATGAATACCATAAGAATACGAATTTGAATACGAATACCCCCATCTCTACTTTAGAGTCATTATCCTACAAAAGACCTGTTCCTCCTGTGAGAAAAAACAGATGGAATTCATCTATGGATATGAATTAATCTAGCTGCCTGAATTTTGGGATCCTTTTTGTGAAGCAGGTAAGGAATGGTTATGAAGTTGAGCACCTGGACTTCCAAATTAGAGCATATATGAATACTAATCTAGCTGCCTGCATTTTGGGATCCTTTTCGTGAAGCAGGTAAGGAATGACTATGAAGTTGAGCACCTGGACTTCCAAATTTACCACTCCACCACAGAGTACAACAGAAACAATAAGGAGTTTTTAGGAACCTGAGAGACAGGCAGCTAAATCCCACAGATAGTTCCATCTAAAGCAAACCCATTAAATCAAGATTTAGTGGGTCTGCTCTACTTGGCACTTACAACTGGATTTGGTCCCAACAGTTTTATTATGGCACATACCAGCAAAATGCAGCACTGGGCCACATATAATACAAAGGCTCCTTTTGCAGTTCCTGGCTCTGTCACACTTCCCCATTTAAAAATAAAAGTCCCTGACAGAAAAGAAAAAAGGATACATTGGCATTTCTGGAAGCCTTGAAGAGCTGCAATTCACCTTCTAAATAGGTTGCAGCTGCCCTGTGCAGGACTCAACATACACATACATAAACCAAATACTTGACTTTCAAAAGCAGAGGTTTCAATCACTCCCAATCTCCTCCACCCACCCACCCACTTTATGTTTCTGGCAGTATTTGTAGCTCTAGAGGATTCTGGGGGGCAGAACATCTGTCCACGAACTTCAGCAGATGCTTTCATGAATTTCAGCCCACTTCAGCAGACCTAAAATGCTATGTTGAGTAAGGGGTTGGGGAGGAACATTGGTGTTAAACCAAAGCAAAATGTGCTGATTATATACTACCCCATAGCACTTAATGAACTCTCTGGGGAATTTACAACTTAATTATGAAGGCTACACATTGCTCTTCTAGTGACCTGGATACTCAGTTTACTGTCCTCAGAAGAATGGAAGGCTGAGTGAACCTTGAGCTGCCTGCCTGGGACTGAACCCAAATCACGAGCAGAATTTTAACTGCAGGTTAACTACTACACCAAAAGGCTCCCATTACATTGTCATTTCACAGATTAAAATACAGACACACTCTTGAAATACTTAACAAGAATCATCTTCCATGCCACTGATCCCTTTCTCCAATTTATCATTAGTAGAGCTCCCTTCAAGCTTTATAAAAAAGAAGTTGTTTCTGAAGTCATTCATTCACAATAGACATCTTCTATTTCTGAGATGTCTGGAGAATTGATGCTGATTTGTCATAATCTACCCTACTTAATACTTCCACTGAAAATTAGCAAGTTCTAAAGAAAAAGTGCACATGTAGCATGAACAAAGACCTTAGGAAAGCAAAAAAGGACATTCATATTCAGTGAATACAGGAAATAAGATAATGGCTGGTAGTCATGTTCTCTGAATGCCCTCTACTTGAGTCATATGACTACATAAATCCTATATAAATGCAGCTACCTATGCACGAGGCTCTCTAAGTAACTGAGAGTGTGAGTATACATGGAAAAAATGTGACATGCCTAGCTGTGAAGTCACACCTGGGAAGTTGGGTTTCCCTGGGTAAACGTGTGTTAACCAGCCAGAGAGAGAGAGAGGAGGAAATTTATAAACAGCCTTGTTTGCAGCTGGTTAGCATAGCTCTCCTATAGCCTTTCTGATTTGCAGGAGGCACAGCTGCAGGAGAACTAACTTAATAAGCTGTTAAAAAAGAGCCAAGTGGCAATTTCTTTCTCTTTCTCTTTCTCTCTTTGTGTCTAGGTGCCCTAATACAACAGTTCTGGCATCAAGCCTTTTTTTTTGGTCAAAGAACAGAAATGGCATTATTTGCACAGATCCAGCCCTCCAGTATTTTAATATTGACCCCATCAGTCACGCCATTGAGCCAACTATCAGCACCCCTGAACAGTTTTCTGCAGTCCAAGCAATCACACTGCCAAAACTGATGCAGATAGATGCACTGTCAAAAAAAAAAAGTAGAAGCCCCAGTAGGTGTAGGAAAGATGGACTGAAGTGTATGCATTCAAGTCCTGATTTGCATTGGCTTTTATGAGGTCATAAATGCAAATCAGGTCACCCCAATCTTGTAGCACTTCCTGTGTTATTGCACAGCAATCTAGTTATGATTCATAAAGAAACTTCCCACTCCAATGTATATCACTGTAACTTCTCCCAGTGGAACTTTTGTCCCTAAGTGAAAAAAAAGACTAGAACACTGTTTGTCAAAGGTTATATATAGTCGATCAACAGGACTTTGTTTCACTGGCATCTAAATTCTGCTGCTTCTCCATGTGGGAATAAAAAATTAGAGTACACTCTCAATATTAATTCTTCCAGAGAGGTACCAAACCAGGCACACAAAAGAAGTAATTAAAAATGGATTTTTTGGGATAAAATATTATGAGAACTATTAAGGGAGCAAATTTCCTTCCAACTTCATGAGGAATCTTCCATACAGTACTCTTGTTTTCCACAGGTGTCTGTGGTAGGAACAGAATTCTGGACCAGACAGGCTTATGGCTTGATCAGTTCCTTATGCTCCACTACAGTGGTTCTTAACCTTGGGTTACTCAGGTGTTTTTGAACTGCAACTCCCAGAAACCCCAGCCAGCACAGCTGGTGGTGAAGGCTTCTGGGAGTTGCAGTCCAAAAACACCTGAGTAACCCAAGGTTAAGAACCACTGCTCCACTACATTTTGTGTGTCTTTATACAAAGTGTAATATGTACAAGAGTAGGCAGCTATAGGGTATGGAGGGAGATACAGACAGAGCGTAGGGTAAGAGATTCAAAACACCAATTAGTGTTTTGACTGGTGAAATGTCAGTTTATATATAAAAGAACGTAGATGGCTTTCTGCATTCTGGTACTCGTTAGCACTAACTGAAACAGTTCATTCAAAGACTGGAAGTTTTACTGCTATAAATGAGACAAACATCCATATGCAATCCCGCAGCAATGCAGACAAGAGTGAAGTCTTAGCCCTGCAAAAAGTATACCCCATTTGCTCATTGCTATCACTGAACCTTCTGTAGCTCTTACCAAGCTCTACATCCTGATCATCAGTAAGAACAAGAATGATGTTTGGACGGATATTCCTGCGGTCCCTTTGAAATCTTCCCTTCAGACGTTGATTTAACAGGAAAGATGAACTGTCATCCAGCAAGGATAAGAGAGTTATTATGAATAATCCAACAGCAATGCTACGCTGTGCCATATTGTGCTGATTTTGCATGCTGTTCAAACAAAGGTGAGGAAATATCTTCTATTTTTTCTTCAAAGGCAGTTCTATGAGGAGGCAAAAAGAGAGAGCAGGTAAGTATGTATGTATGCAACAGAAACCTTGATACAGTGTACAAACCATTGTTTTTAATATACAGTGGACCCTTGACTTACAGATGGCTTGACTTACAGACTTTTTGATTACAGACTTCTCTGGCCGCAAAATTTAGGTTTGACGTACAGACTGAGATTTGACTTACAGACCAGAAAAAAACCAAAATGGAACAAAAACGGCCTGTTACGGGATTAATCGGTTTTCAATGCACTGTAGGTCAATGGAGACTTGACTTACAGACTTTTTGACTTGAGAACCGCCTTCCAATATGGATTAAGTTCTCAAGTCAAGACCCCACTGTAATGAAATTAAAAATGAGCTTCTATTCCTAGGACAAAGAACACTGTGCCTCTGAAGAATAACCTATACATAAACCCACAGAACTTCACTACATCACAAGAGAAATAAAAAACTACGGTAACTTTTCTTTCTTTCTTTCTTTCTTTGAATTAGGGCACTGCACAATTTAAAATTATAAATGTACAGTGTATGAAATATAGGTAAAAGTAAAAACATATTCAAATGTTAATGTAATTATTAGACTATTTTTGAACAGGAGTGGGCTACTTCCATAGAGTTATCTCTGCCATTGTTTCTTTTGTACACCTGATGGGACATAAACTGCAGGCACATAAGAGCTTAGGATGAAACAACAGGTTAACTTCCAGTAATTGTAGTTCTTTGAGTGGACCTCTGTGATTCACACTATAGATAATCCGCGCATGCGTGGAGCCTCGTCAGAATATTCTAGAGCATCTGGGGTAGCAAAGGAAAATACATTAGCATAGACCCCTCCCCCCGGTATATGTACCTTGGTGCCAAAGCTCTCCATTCAGTTAGGTCAACCGCCACATAAAGGAAATGATGTGACAGTGGGGAGGCCAGGTTGGGATGTGTGAATCACAGAGGTCCACTCGAAGAACTACAATTACAGGTAGATAACCTGTCATTCTTTGTGGCCTCTGTGAATCACACTACGAGTGACAAAAAAGCTACCGTACCTGGAGGAAGGTGTCACGCCACAGCACGCCCCAAAGCAGCATCAGATTACTGCAGAAAGTCCAATGTGTAGTGACTGATAAATGTGTACGGCTGTGACCATATGGCAGAGGTGCAGATGTCTGGTACGGGGACGCCCCGAAGAAATGCTGTAGATGTCACCAACGCCCTAGAATGAGGACGGATACTCTGTGGCACTGGAACTCGAGCAAGCGGATAAGCAAGCTGGATGGTAGATGCAACCGAGTTAGATATTCTCTGTGAGGTAACTTGAAGACCGTTGGCAGAAAGTTGGTAGCTGACAAGAAGTCTAGCTGAGCATCTGAAGAACTGAGTGTGGGCTAAGTAAAAGCCAAAGCCTGTATTACATCCAGAGCATGGAGGATCCTTTGTTGACGAGTAGAAGGAGACAGAAAATAGAAGGAAGAACCAAAGGTTGGGACAGGTGGAACTGGGAAACACCCTTGGTTAGAAAAGAAATATCTACAAAAAGTTTAACCTTATCTGGGTAAAACCGGATATAAGAGTAGCCAGACCTTAAGGCTGCAAGTTCACTAGGACATTGACCTGACGTGATGGTCACAAGAAATATCGTTTTGAAGGTAAGTAACCTGAGGTTAGTTGACACCAGGGGCTCAAACGGGGCCCTTGTAAGTTGTCGAAGGACCAATGTCAGTGACTCCTGAGGTGATACATCTGTGGTACAGGTATGATAGTCCCTTGAGGAAATGTTTCAGAGTAAAAGGTAAAGGTACCCCTTGACAATTTTTGTCCAGTCGTGTTTGACTCTAGGGGGTGGAGCTCATCCCCGTTTCCAAGCCATAGAGCTAGTGTTTGTCCGAAGACAATCTTCTGTGGTCACATGGCCAGTGCAACTTAAACACGGAACACTGTTACCTTCCCACTGAGGTGGTCCCTATTTATCTACTCACATTTGCATGCTTTTGAACCGCTAGGTTGGTGGGAGCTGGGACAAGTGACGGGTGCTCACTCCATCATGTGGGTTCGATCTTACAGCTGAAGGTCTACAGACCTTACAGCACAGAGGCTTCTGCAGTTTAACCCGCAGCGCCACCATGTCCACGTTTCAGAGTAGGGTGTCTGAAAAAGCTGCCTGAGAGGTTGGTGGTGGATAAACCACAATTGCAGAAAAGTAGACCTTGAGGGATGAGAGAGAAAGACCCTTGGTTTGTAACTGCAATAAAAAACATAAGACAGTGGTAAGAGAGGAGTTGGTTGAGGAAAAAGATGATGCTGCAGTAATAGCTTGAAATTGTTTCCATTTATACATATAGGCCTTCCTGGTTGAAGGTTTCTTTGCATGATGAATGACATATATCAGTGAGGCCGAATCCTGCATGCTGCGAGATGAAGAGCAGGGAGATCTGGGTGGTGAGATAGACGGGGCAGGTGATAAATGCTGGGTGACAGCTGGTGGAGAATTGGGACCCATAGCTGTCGCAGCTACCGTGGAGCTATCAGGATAGCATTGGGCCTGTCCTTCTGAAGCCGGACTAAAACTTTGTGGAGGAGTGGGAACAGTGGAAACAGGTAAATGAGTGACTTAACACGTTAAGTTAAAGCAGATACGAGCACATGAGGAGTGGGATGGTTAAAGCAGATATGAGCACATGAGGAGTGAAGGAACGTAGTAAGGAGATTAGATTGGTACCTTCGTTGATGTGCCGGAGGCCGAGATGGTAGGCCTACAGGGGCAGAGTAAGTTACCTTCGTTGATGTGCCGGAGGCCAAGATGGTAGGCCTACAGGGGCAGAGTAAGGCACAGTTTCTGGTTGTGTTTAGCGCCATGGATGTCTGGCAATGCAATTTGTAAAGACTCACTCAGAGAGCCCAAGGATTGTCGCAGGCTATCAGGGGAAGCCATGAGTCAATCAACACACTCTTCCCGTTCGGGAGACTACAATGGTGAGGTTCCTGATGTGGAAGTGCTTCATCATCTCAAAGAGAACCAACACAGATGAGGTTCCCAGACTCCGATGGTTGTGGAGTCGGGGAAATGGTTGTGGAAGGCTTCGATTTAGAAGACTTAGCCTTCTTCAGAGGTGATGGTTCCAGTGCTGAGGAAGTGTCCATGGATGTTTTTCTCTTAGAGGCTGTTTTCGATGTTGAGGGTTTCGACGTCAAATGTTTGGCTTTGTGCACTCGTGTGACTGTTGATATTGAGAGCAGAGTAGATTGTCGATGATCGGAACAAGATGGAGTAGCTGATGGGTGCTGTTTTGTCACTTTGGAAACAACTTCATCCATGGCTTTAGAGATTGCTCCCAGAGCTGAAGCTTGAGCCTAGAGAGACGACTGCGGAGAACTCCGTGTTTAAAGTTTTTGCAGTGAGAGGAAGAGGAAGTTTGATGGCCTCACCGAGGCAAAAAAGGCATTTAGCGTGTCTGTCAGAGAGCAGGATCTTGTTATCACAGGCTACGCAGCTTTTAAATGGGCCTGAAAAGGCCATGAACTGAGAACCGGTTTAGAAAAGAAAACAACAGAAAGGTGGGAGGGGGGACTCTTCGGCCTTAAGGCCGGAATGTATCCTTTGAAAATAATAAGGATAATAATAATACATAAATAAAGTTCAATAACTTTCCTTCTTTCATCTTCAGATTTCTCACGGAAGCAACGATCGAGGCTCTCAACGCAGTGGTTGAAAGAAACTGAAGGGAGAGCCTTGGCACCAAGGTACATATACCGGGGGGAGGGGGCTGTTTCTTGGCTACTGCAGAAGCTCTAGAATATTCCAGCAAGACTCCGCGCATGCGCAGATTACCCATAGTGTGATTTACAGAGGCCACAAAGAAAAACAATATGTTACACATCAATCAAATGGGAAGAAGAGTGCTGGTGTGCATGCACCCAACAAATAAACACAACTAAGGATGCAGAGAGAACTAGTAAAAATTCCTGTCCTCAACAGTTTTCCAAGTTGAGACTCCTTACCAAGACTTACTCCTACACCCATGCAATTTCCCAATTTCCTGCAAAAAAAGCGATTCCTTGTGTTGTCTATCTTGTTTCTTCATTTTTTGTTTTTCATCTCTACTTTGTGTAACCACCTGCTGTGCTCTGCATATCTCAATGTTTTCCCCAGAGAATCTTGTACAGGAAAAGGCCATTTGGTGCAGAAAAATTAACAATTCTACACAGAGTTGTTTTTTATCCAGAAAAATAAAATTAAATAAAATAAAAGGTCATGAAACATCCAAGGAATGCATGAGATTTCCCTATGAGATTTCCCAGGGGGGGAAATACTGTGCAGAGATTTATTTCTGCAAGAAGAAAATCCTTGGTATCTTGTCAAAAGTGAGAGGCTCTGAAAGTCATATCCCTGTATCAATACCACCACCACCACCTGTCAAGTCAATTCTGACCTATGGTGAATCTGGCTACAATTTTCTAAGTGTGCAATAGTTTACCATTCTCTTATTTTGAGAATGGCAAACGACTCCCCGGGAATGTTCAGCTTTCCCAAGGCTACCCAGGCTGATTCTTTTCCTGGGACATACAGTGAGGATAGAAATCCCAATCTCTGTAAATCACTACGCTATTTAGGCAGCAACAGCCATTCAATCCCAACTGCAAGTAGTCAGCATACATCTTCTATAACTCCTTTCCTTATTTCCCCTTCAAACTCAAGATATCTGTCATATTTATTTATTTATTTATTTATTTATTTATTTATTTATTTATTTATTTATTTATTTATTTATTTATTTATATCCCGCCTATCTGGTCAATTAAGACCACTCTTAATTGAGTCATACTAATACATCTGTACAAAACACAGCAAACAAGCCTCTCATAGAGTTCATCCATTATCTTCAGGAAAAAGGAGTTCAATATCGAAACCTGGTTTGAAGAGTATAAACTAAAGAAAGCCTAACTTTTTTAAAGCAGAATAACATAGTGTAATAGAAACACAGACCTCTACTGTCAAAGA